ACCGCCCCCGTGCCCAGCCACCGCCTGCCCGTGGAGGTGGCCTACAAGCGGGGCTACTTCGACCAGGAGATGAACCAGGTCCTCTCTGACCCCACCGACGACACCAAGGGCTTCTTTGACCCCAACACACAGGAGAACCTCACCTACCTGCAGCTCATGGAGCGGTGCGTGACTGACCCGGACACGGGGCTGTGCCTTCTGCCGCTCACTGACCAGGCAGCCAAAGCAAGAGAGCTGGTCTACACCGACAAAGAAGCTAAGGACGTCTTCAAGAAGGCCACGGTGACAGCACCGTTTGGCAAGTTTCAAGGGAAGACAGTGACCATCTGGGAGATCATCAACTCTGAATACTTCACTGAGGACCAAAGGCGGGACCTAATCCAGCAGTACAGGACCGGCAAGATCACGGTGGAGAAGATCATCAAGATCATCATCACGGTTGTGGAGGAAAGCGAGAAAAAGAGCCAAATGTGCTTCGAGGGCCTCCGGGCCCCGGTGCCTGCCGCCGAGCTGCTGGAAAGCAAAATCATCAACAAGGACCTCTACAACCAGCTGCACCAGGGCAAGAAGTCTGTGAAGGATGTGGCGGAGATGGAGTCCGTGCGACCGTACCTGAAGGGCACGGGTGCCATTGCCGGCATCCTGGTGGAGTCAACTGGCCAGAAGCTCACCTTCTATGACGCCCTGAAGAGAAACCTGCTGAAGCAGGAGATTGCCCTGTCCCTGCTGGAAGCGCAGGCTGCCACTGGTTACATCATTGACCCTGTGAGGAACAAGCTGTTCTCCGTTGATGAGGCGGTGAAGGCCGAGGTGGTGGGGCCCGAGTTTCACGAGAAGCTGCTGTCCGCAGAGAAGGCGGTGACTGGCTACAAGGATCCCTGCACGGGCCAGACGGTTTCCCTCTTCCAAGCGCTCCAGAAGGGCCTCATCCCCGGCGACACCGGGGTCCGTCTGCTGGACGTCCAGCTCGCCACTGGGGGCATCATCGACCCGGTGAACAGCCACCGGCTCCCGCTCGATGTCGCCTACAAGCGGGGCTACTTCAGTCCGGAGATGAACGAGGCTCTGTCCGATGCCAAGGCTTTCTATTGTCCCAACACCCAGGAGCACCTCACCTACGCCCAGTTGCAGAAGAACTGCCACCGTGACAAGCAGACTGGCTTCTGCCTGCTGCCCCTGTCGGACAAAGCCATCCAGTCGCAGCAGGAGGAGGTCTACACGGACAGCCAGGCGAAGGAGTGCTTTGACAAGGCGACTGTAGAAGTCCCAGTGGGCAGCATGAAGGGCCAGACGATGACCATCTGGGAGCTGATCCACTCCGAGTACTTTACGGAGGAGCACAGGCGGGAGCTCCTCCGACAGTACAAGACTGGCAAGGTGACCATCGAGAAGATCATCAAGATCGTGATCACCATCATCGAGGAGGCAGAGACCAAAAAGCAGGAGAAGCTGACGTTCAGCGGCCTCCGGGCACCTGTACCTGCCAGCGAGCTGGTGGAGTCCCGCATCATCAGCAAAGCCCAGTACGAGCAGCTGAAGGAAGGCAAGAAATCCGTGAAGGACCTCTCCGAGACCGATGCGGTGAGGAGATTCCTGCACGGCAGCGACTGCATTGCCGGCGTCTACGTGGAAGCGACCAAGGAGAAGCTGAACATCTACGAGGCCATGAAGAGGAACCTGCTGAGGCCCAGCACCGCCGTGGTCCTCCTGGAGGCCCAGGCAGCGACCGGGTTCTTGATCGACCCGGTGAAGAACCGGAAACTCTACGTCAACGAGGCGGTCAAGGCCGGTGTCGTCGGGCCTGAACTGCATGAGAAGCTGCTGTCCGCTGAGAAGGCTGTCACTGGGTACAAGGACCCCTACTCGGGCAACACCATCTCCCTCTTCCAGGCCATGAAGAAAGGACTCATCGTCAAGGAGCACGGCATCCGCCTGCTCGAGGCCCAGATCGCCACTGGCGGCATCATTGACCCCGTCAACAGCCA